CTTAAAACAGGACTGCCACAGTCTTTTTTCTTCTTTCCCTTCCCTTCTAATGCCCTTCACACAATCATTTACCTAAAAGGAAGCTTTCATGTGTCCAAGATGACAGTTAAGATTCTGTTATTGCAGCTGCTAAGCAGGAGCAAATCTCATGTAAGATATTCTGACCATGTGTTTCCTTGACCTTAACTTTTTTCCCCCTTCCTGGTATCTGGAATGGAGATTGTCAGGTGGGAAAGATCAAGTAATTATATAATCATTATTAGTTATAGATGAGTTTAATTTGAAATGCAGAAACATTCAGCATATGCTACTGGTGTGTGCGTGTGTACCCAATACCCACCCCATGCCCCAGCCTGACAGAGGGTGATGTTTCTGGAAGGAATATAATCATGCTTTATTTATACTCAGTTTTATAAGAAGACCAAACAGCTGCCAGTACTAGTAAAGTGCTGTGAGGAGATCCAGCCCCATCAGTGGAAGCCACCTGTAGAGAGGGAAGAACACCGGCTCCCATTCTGGCTAAAGGTACAGTTCTCCTTCTCAAAGTCTGTAGAGGGCTACTTTAAGGTTCTAATACTTGAGTCATAAAACTAGGACTTAAGAAACCTTCCTTGGTCACCCTTCCTTCCTTTCCTCCCTTCCTCCAGCTGATTTTATAGCCTTTTTCAAATAACAGATTTTCTAAAGGAAACTCAGAGAAGAGGTATGTAGAATGCATGATTAGAATGAGGTCATCCTAGAAATTTGATATGCAGAAAAACCCTTCTTCTTCAAGTTATCTTGAAACTGTTTGAAAGGTTCCTAAAATAAAGAAAGCCCTGTTTTTCTCACCAAATTCTGACATGTGCTTGATCAGAGTATTCTTGTTTCCAATAGGCCAGTCTGCCATCTATCCAGGATGAACTGCGGCACATGGCTGATCGTGCTAGAGAGCTAGGAAATGTGACTGGAACCACTGAGATCAAAGCAGAACAAGACCTTGAAAAAGCCAGATCAGAGTTGGGAAGTGAAACTCAGTACCCACTGCTGTTGCCCAAGGGTGTAGTACTGAAACTGAAGCCAGTTGCTGACCGTCTTTCCAGGAAGGCTTGGAGACAGAAGCGGTCATCGGTCTTGAAGCCCCTCTTGATCCGACCCAGCCCCTCTCTCCAGCCTAGTTTCAACCCTGGGAAAACACCAGCCAGGTCAACTCAATGCGAAGCCCCTCCAAGCAAAATGGTTGTTCGCTTCCCTCACCTTATCCAGCCAGCCACTGTCTTACAGCCAGTTTCAGGTGTCCCTACACTGGGGGTCACTGGGGAYGACAGTTTTGAGTCTCCTGTAGCAATGTCTACGGTTCCCCCTAAGGCTAGGACTGGCTTCCCTCTGTCTGAGCCACAGACCTTGCTCTCCTCTGCCCCTGTGCCCAAAGTAATGCTGCCTGCACTTGCCCCTTCTAAGTTTCGGAAGCCATGTGTGAGACGGAAACCCTCAAGAAGAAAGGGGACCAAGRCCTCTCCCTGTCTGAAAACTGCCCACCTCATCCACCCTGCACCTGTTATCTTTACTGTTCCTGCCACCACTGTGAAGGTGGTGAGCCTTGCCAGTGGCTGTAATGTAATCCAGCCTGTCAATGCAGCTGTGGCCCCAAGTCCCCAGACCATTCCTATCACCACCCTCCTGGTCAACCCTACTTCCTTTTCCTGTCCATTGAATCAGCCTCTTGTGGCCTCCTCCATCTCACCCTTAATTGTTTCTGGCAATTCTGTGAATCTTCCTCCTGTACCATCCACCCCTGAAGATAAGTCCCAAAGGAATGTGGACATTGCTTGTCCTTTGACTGAAAGGAAAAATGCCTTTCAAACCCTGGAACCCAAATTAGAACCCCAGGAACTAGCTCCTTTGTGTGCTGCTGTCTTCCCCAAGGAGGAGCACAGCCCAGGGCCAATGCCAGCAGATGGAGAAAGCCAGGAGGCACTGTTGGAGAACAGTGCCTATCGCTGGACTCTTGTGAAAACAGAGGAGGGGAGGCAGGCTCTGGAGCCAGTGCCTCAAGGCTTCCAGGAATCTCTAAAGTCTCCTTGTGAGGATTTAAAGACAATCATCAAGATGGAACCTGAAGACCCTGGGGAGGAGATCTCCAGTAGGTCCACTGAGCAGGACGTTTGTAATGAAATCAAAGAAGAGCAGCTTTTGGAATTGGACACTGGTTCCCTAAGGGAAGAGTTGAGTGATGCTAGAGAGGTGAAGAAACAGGCGGGCCAGCAGGAAGAGGAGGAGAGGAGACAGTCAGCTCAACCCCCTGCCACTTGGCAAGCGCCTACTGCTCAGGGAAACACCGGGGGAGACATGAACAAAGGGTCTCCAAAGAATGTGCCCTCCTCCATGGACCCTGACATGGTGCTAAGCAGTCCCCCAGGGAAGCCTGAAGACTCATCCAGTGTTGATGGCCACTCAGTAGGGACCCCAGCTGGGCCAGAAACTGGGGGAGAGAAGGATGGGCCWGAGGAAGAGGAAGAAGAAGACTTTGATGACCTCACCCAAGATGAGGAAGACGAGATGTCATCGGCTTCTGAGGAATCTGTTCTTTCTGTCCCTGAACTACAAGTAAGAGCCAGGGAATACTTTTAAAAGATTTGGGGACTCAGTAATATGTTTAATTTATTGACACGCCATTTGCTTGCTTATTCTTATCTACAGATAGTTCCAAATCGGTTTGTATTTGGCTTTTGAATGTAGGACATAGTTTTGGGATTGAGGTTGAGGGAAAGGGTAGAATTTCACTCATTATGTTTGAGCTAAACTCATTAAAACATTAAATTGAATCACTTGAGCACACTTTATTCCCTAGCATTTAAAGTCCTGGGTTTGACCTCCAACAATACAGAAGAGAAGGGAGAAAAAAAATTAAAAACAAGTGTGGATGGTGGCAAAGGAAAACTTATCTTAAGGGAATAGAGAACCCTTTCAAAAGGCACATTCTTCTTCTCTCCTCTTCTCTCAGGCCCATTTCCTAACCCAGGGAGTAGTGGGCCCATTGATTAACCTCAGACTCTCCTGAGACAGCTCTATGCTTCAGCATTGGGAGCTACCAGGAGCCCTTATAAACACTCTTTTGGGGGATGGCAGGAAACAATGGAGAAGCTGACTTGGCTGGCATCTGAAAGGCGCATGAGTCAGGAGGGTGAGTCTGAGGAAGAGAACTCCCAGGAGGAGAACTCTGAGCAGGAAGAAGAGGAGGAAGAAGAAGCTGAAGGAATGGAAAATCTACAGAAAGAGGATGAGATGACCGATGAAGCAGTTGGAGATGCTGCTGAGAAGCCCCCTTCCACCTTGGCCTCCCCAAAGACTGCTCCAGAAGTGGAGATCAGCAGAACCCCACCAGGTGAGAGTGGCAGGCCTGTGCCTAGAGTCAGGTCTCACTGGGCCTCATTGTGAGGGTGTGCAGAGTGGGTTGCTTACAAATCAGCTGGATGATTCTAGAGGAAATCTTCTGAATCTTTCCTGTAGCCTCCCTTCCCCCAAACAGATGTTTAATGTGGTACCTTTGCAGAAAAGAGATGATTAGAAAATTTTGATTCTCATCAGCCGCAGGATTTGTAATAGTTTGTTCCAAGTTTTCAAACTGTTTCTTCCCTCGTTTATCATGGATGAGGCAAAGAGCTGTGTGTATCAGAAAACACTGCTTGTTTCCTCATCAAGTCTCTTGGGAGCCCAGCATAAAGTCACACTTTAGACTTCCTTTCTCAAGATGTGGCTTGCCAGGTGTGGTGGCACATAATTGTAATCCCAGCTGCTGAGGAGGCTGAGGCAGGGGGATCAAAGCTTGAGGACATCCTGGGCAACTTAATGAGATCCCAWCTCAAAATAAAAAGGTCTGGAATGTAGCTCAGTGGTAGAGCACCCTTCATTCCCCACTACCACAAAAGCAAAAAAACAAACATACMAAAAAAAAAAAAMAAAAAAACCCTGAAACTCCTCTCCTTATTGTCCTAGTTAACCCACTTCTGCTGGAGCCTCCGCATAGAGCCGACTTGATAGAGGCCAACTTGCCTCTCCTACCACTTCCCCGCCACTCTTTTCCCAAGTTGCTCTGTGACATTGACTAGGATTGGAGAGGGGGCACATGTGGTAGATGGGAGGAGTAGAGGTTGCAGGGACCAAGAAACAATCCTTTTCATATGTACTCCAAGGAGAAAGCATCAAGGCTGCTGGAAAGGCCCGGAGCAATCATCGAGCTCGCAACAAGCGAGGAAGTCGGGCTCGGGCCAGCAAGGACACCTCCAAGCTGCTGTTGCTCTACGATGAGGACATTCTTGAGCGGGATCCACTGAGGGAGCAGAAGGACTTGGCCTTTGCCCAGGCTTATCTGACTAGGGTAGGCAGATGCTGCTTCTGTTACTGTTAGTCCCTATGAATGTGGTTGCTTCTCCTTTAAGGGAGATGCTTTATTTATTTATTTTGTTTGTTTGTTTGTTTTTGGTACTGGGGATTTTACCTGGGGTGCTTAACCACTAAGCCACATCCCACCTCTTCTTGTTTTTGTTTTTAAATTTAGAGACAGTCTTGTAAGTTGCTTAGGGCTTCTCTAAGTTACTGAGGCTGCTTTGAACTTGTGATCTTCCTCCCTCAGCTGCCTGAGCTGCTGGGATTACAGGTGTGTGCCACCTTGCCTGGCAAGGGAGATGGTTTTTTTTTTTTTTTTTTTTAATAAAATTTTTTTTTTAAGAGAGAGAGAGAGAGGGGAGTGAGAGAGGGGAGAGATAGAGAGAGAGAGAGAATTTTTAATATTTATTTTTTAGTTCTCGGCGGACACAACATCTTTGTTGGTATGTGGTGCTGAGGATCGAACCCAGGCCGCACGCATGCCAGGCGAGCGCGCTACCGCTTGAGCCACATYCCCAGCCCCAAGGGAGATGTTTTAAAAATGAAGTTTGAGGGGCTGGGGTTGTGGCTCAGTGGAAGAGTACTTGCCTAGCATGTGTGAGGCACTGGGTTTGATCCCTGGCACCACATAAAAAAATAATAATAATAATAAAAATAAAATCAGGTTATTGTATCCATCTACAACTAAAAAAAAAAAATGAAAAATGAAGTCTGGGGTTGAGGGTATAACTCAGTGGTAGAGCACTCACCTAGCATACACAAAGCCCTGGGTTCTATCCCCAGTATTGCAAAGAAGAAAAAAGGTGTTTTTTTGKTTTTGTTCTTTTTTTAAAGACTATACAGCTGGCATTGTCTGTCTTTGCCTTAGCTTTCGTGGAAGTACCGAAAGAGCTCTTGTGAGAGAGCCAAAGGCACAGAGTTTAGTGTGAGTTGATGATTAACACCAAAAATAATCCCCGGGCTGGGGATGTGGCTCAAGCGGTAGCGCGCTCACCTGGCATGCGTGCGGCCCGGGTTCGATCCTCAGCACCACGTACAAACAGAGATGTTGTGTCCGCCGAAAGAAAAAAAAAAAAACTAAAATAAATAAAAAAACAATATAATCCCCTTTTGCGCAGATTTTGAGAGGGGGAGTGATACCTTTTCATCAGTAGAACATTGTGTCTTTACTAGCTATGGAGTAATAAAAACCTTCACTGARCCCTTTGGCCTGAGAAAAAAGACAGCTGGTACACTGGCCAGAGAGCAGATTTCAGGGAAGTACCTTGGTCTTCAGATGGGARCCCACCTGTGTTTAGTTGTGCCTTAGTAGCTGTCTTCTCTTTCAGTAACCAGCTGGTTCCTTTATCCTCCCAGCAAAGGAAGGTAGTAGCAGCATAGTTGAGGCTTTTTCTTATCTCCCAGTGTTCAACTAACATTTCAAATGTATGTATTATGTGCCCTCAGATGACACTATGCTGAAATACGAAACACTCCTTTTCTATATCATTATGGGACCGAAATCAGGAAGGAGAACTTAGAGCCTAGAGAAAAGCATTATCGGTTTTGAAGTCAGGGTTCTGGCCTCTGGAAATGAAGGTTTTCCTGTTGCCCACTATCAGGAAAAGAACTCTACCCTGCTCATTTCTCTGTGTCTTCTAYTAACCATCAAATAGATCTGTTCAGGGCCTTGCTTCTGAAGGATACTTCTTGGAGCTCTTTTATTATGACCTCTCTTTCTCCCTTGTATCTTTACTTCTTCTTGAGGCCCAAGGAAAGGGTGCTCATGATTGGAAGTCTCCCTGTGTAGGTACGAGAAGCCCTACAGCATATCCCTGGCAAGTACGAAGACTTTCTTCAAGTCATCTATGAATTTGAGTCGAGCACCCAGAGGCAGACTGCTGTGGATCTCTACAGAAGCTTGCAAATTCTGCTCCAAGACTGGCCTCAACTGTTGAAGGACTTTGCTGCTTTCCTGTTACCTGAGCAAGCTTTGGCCTGTGGATTAGTAAGTTGATGGGCAGAAACAGTACACAGGACTCCTAAGTCAGAATGACTGGGGTCGGATGAAGTCAAGTAAGACTGTCCCAGTCTCTTGACTGCTTCCAGACAGGCCTATCCCTTGCCCCTTGCCTCTTGCCCCTCTCTTCAGGAGATGCTCTCTCCAACCCCATTCTTCCATTTTCTTTACTTGGGAAATGAGAGCATTTTGCTTTGAGTTGCCAGTGGAGACCTTAGGTAAGTCATGTGCTCTCTGCTCCTCACAGTTGTATAACAGGCATTCTTTTAATAAATGTTTATGGAATGTCAGGCAAAGTTTCAGGTGCCCTACCCTCATGGAACTTACATTTTCATGTGGAAACTCAGGTGATAATATGTACAATATATAAATTTTGCTACATCTATGTTATGAAAGTAAAATGAATATAGACGGGCGCCGTGGCACATGCCTGTAATCCCAGTGGCTCCAGAGGCTGAAGCAAGAGGATCACGAGTTCAAAGCCAGCCTGAGCAAAAGCGAGTCTCTAAGCAACTCAGAGAGACCCTGTCTCTGAATAAAATACAAAATGGTGCTGAGGGTGTGGCTCAGTGGTTGAATACCCCTGAGTTCAATCCCCGGTACCAAAAAAAAAAAGAAAGAAAGAAAGAAAAAGCAGTGAATAGAATTTAGAATATAATGGTTTATAGAAAACTAAAGAAAAGGGGACAAGTGAGTTGTAAGTAAAGGGAATGGGCTATGTTGGCAAGGCCCCTGCAGTAAGATGATATTTGCAATGTTGACAAATAAGCATGAGGGATATTCTCGTAGCCCTGGCCTTTTTTTCATAAGGGTGACAATAGGAATAAAGGGAATATGAGGGCATTCTGATAGTCTTATTGCAGCTAAATGACATTGGAGTGATCATATAATGTTCATCTTCTCTTCTGGCATTATTGTGAGGATCAGATGAACATATATGCTAAAATTCTTTGTAAATCGTGAAGTACCATGTGAGAGTGTGTGTTTGATYTCACAACCCATAAAATAATAAACAACTTGAGACATGCACATCTCTTGAATCTTTCATTCACATCTTAGTTTTCTTAAGTTGGTAGATGCCAGGGGCCCAAGGTAGATGGGTGTTAGAATTTATTACATCGAGTCCTGTCATCCCCTAAGCCTGCGGGTTATTGCTCTTAGTTCTTATCCATAGGGCCCTCAAGTCCTGTTCTAGATGTGTGGGTGACTCTTCTCTTGCCCTCCTTCCACTTTGGTAGTTTGAGGAGCAGCAGGCTTTTGAGAAGAGTCGCAAGTTCCTTCGGCAGCTGGAGATTTGCTTTGCAGAGAACCCTTCCCATCACCAGAAGATCATCAAGGTCCTCCAGGGCTGTGCAGACTGTCTTCCTCAGGAGATCACTGAGGTATTCCTTCCTGTCCTGTTTCCTTACTGTCGTCATTTGGACCTCAGGCCCTTCCCCTTTCTTTCTCCTTAACCTGTTCCATATCCTTTTGCCCCTGGAGTACCAGGGACTCCTGGAGGAGATGAAGAAGGTAGGGGTTTCTTAGGTTTACTTAAAGCATAAAGCATAAGGACAGAGAGGCTGGCCACTCAAATCCAGAGCCTGACTGACCCTCAGGGGTTCAGGCATGCTTTCAGTGCCCCAGAAGGGATGTTCCAGGAAGGAATGTTCCAGGAAGGAGGTGATGAGACCTGGAAGGAATTCAGCCTCCTTTCTCTACTTGAGCTCTACCCTAGCTGGGGACCAGTCAGACAGCAGTAAAGAGTGCTATCATTGGGAATCACATCTGTGACTAACACTCCTCTCCTGTGGGTGAGCAAGCAGAGAGAAGTTTGACAATTCTTACTTATCAAAGAGAGGCCTCCATGTGTCTAGGAAAGCAGAATGTAGGAGTGGAGAGAGTGGTTTGAAGGGTAGTCTGGGGAGGCTCTGGAGACCCATCTTTGCGCCTACAATTTTACTCAGCTCAAGACACAGATGTGGCAGCTCCTCAAGGGCCACGACCACTTACAGGATGAGTTCTCTGTCTTCTTTGACCATCTGCGCCCAGCAGCTAGCCGGATGGGTGACTTTGAAGAGATCAACTGGACTGAGGAGAAAGAGTATGAGGTACAGGCCCTGAGGCTGCCCTAGGGGTGTGAAGGGGAATGAGGGGGTTACTTGGCGCCACCTTCAGGAGAGAAATCAGCCTAGAGTCTGCACTCAGTGGCGCCAAATTCTCCTTAGTTTGATGGCTTTGAAGAGGTGGCATTGCCTGATGTGGAAGAGGAAGAAGAACCTCCCAAGATACCCTCAGCCTCCAAGAACAAGAGAAGAAAAGAGGTTGGGGTTCAAAATCATGATAAGGTACACCAGGCTCTAAGAAATAGTTTTTTAAATCCATGATTTTTTTTGTTTTGTTTTGATTATTGTATGTCTTTACTTTTTCTTGGGGAGAAACTGATTCTTAGTAGCTAAGTGATGTTGGACGACTTATTTAACCTGTATTTCAGTTTCTTCATCATGAATTGGGATAATAATGATACTTATGTCTTGGATTTATTAAGTAGAGAGTATATAGTTCAGGGAGCCTTCAATATGTACAAAGTGCTCTCTCAAGGGACTTGGAAGGGGCAGGGAACTCAAGGCACAGGGAGTCAGMAACAAAGATGAGATCATACATATCTCACAGTGGAGCTCTCCAGGGACTGCCTCAAAATCTATTTGACTTATATGTGTCTKGAAACATCTGGACAATTGGGATATGTGTCTTTGGGTCACTTAAAGGTTGTTTCAGGGATTCATAATAGGCTTSAATCCAGGTTGGGCATTGATTTTCCCAGGCAATGTAATGAGATGGTGTGTTATGAAAGAGAAAGGGGAGGAGGTATCGGGAAGGGACCTCTTCAGATGGCTCACAGCCCAGTTTCCTCTTATAGTACTGAAAATACATGATTGCTAATCAAGCCCAGGTATCTCCTAGGAGACTGAGTGGACAGATGGGGCCAAGGACTGTTCCTGTTCCTGCCATGAAGGAGGCCCTGATTCCAAGCTTAAGAAGAGCAAGAGGAGAAATTGTAGCCACTGTAGCACGAAGGTGAGGAAGGTACCAGGGTGTTAGGACTCAGGTTATCGAGAGACATCAGGGCAACTCTAGGACATGCTTTCTGAGGTATTGCTTGCTACCACAGACTTGAACCTTCTTGAATTCTTAAAACAATAACATCTACAAATAACAAGCAGTATACACACAAGTGTACATACGTAAAATAAATAGAATCTTTTAGAAATATATGATGGATCTTGCTTTTTTTTTGGTAGAGGGACACACAATGTCTTTGTTTATTACTTTATTTTTTTATGTGATGCTAAGGATTGAACCAGTGCCTCACACAAGTACTCTACTGCTGAGCTAGAGCCCCAGCTCCTGGATTTTGCATTCTAAAGAGAATTCTATAAGGCAAGCTTTTGGAATTGGAAAAGAAAAAAGTCACAGTTCGAATATTTCCTTCTTATTTTTTAATGAAATAAACCAGGAATGTAGATTCTTAAGGTCATTCTGGTTCTTTAGAGTTGGTTGGCAGCAAAAAGGCAACCCAAGAGAGGGAGTGACGGGTGGAACCCCACACTGTACTCCGAGCCATTTAAATGTCCCTGGAGCCTGTACATATTTGTTGACTTGCTAAGCAGCGGGACTGGGCTTCTTTTTGGTGGGTCCTCAAGAGGTTTGGATACGCTTGACCAGAGAGCCATCCCTGCAGGTCTGTGACAGCAAATCCTACAAGAGCAAGGAGCTCCACGAGTTGGTGGGCAGCAGCCCCCACCGAGAGGCCAGTCCTATGCCTGGTGCTAAGGAAGCAGGGCAGGGCACGGATGTGGTGGAAGAGGAAGCCCCTGAGGAGCAGGAGAGCACTGAAGTAACCCAGAGCAGGACTGGCAGGACCACCAGGAAGGGAGAGGCGTCCATTCCAGGTGAGTGATCTCACTGCTGGCCCTTCTCCCCTTAGTTTTGTTTCATTCTCATAATTCAAGCAGGAACCTCTGAGCCTGGATGAGGAGCAGAATTTCCAGGAGTGGACATAGCCTCTCTCTCCCTGGTAGACCGACGGAACTCTACTACTCTGCCTGCATTTTCTCTTCTAAGGCTTTATTTCTCTTGGAGGATCAAGAGTGCTCTTGAGTCCACATGCTACAGCATTCTCTTTCTGTGTTTAATTCTGAAGCCCTTCCCCTTATATACAAATCCTTTCTACTTACATTCTAATGGCTGGATCCTTATCAGCTTGGTATCCTTGTGTCAGTGACTTTACCCCTCACCTGCAGCTCACTCTTTCCAGTGGAAACTTTATCACAGTAGCTCACCACAATGTCTCTGATAGTTTTCCGGCCCTGGGTGCATCCTGATCCTGTCCATAGCCTCAGATATTTTTAATTTTCCTCCAAAGCAGGATTATTAGTGGGAAGCAGTTTTTCATCCCCTCAAGAAGAAGTGACCCTTACACAACAGCTTCTGGACAGCCCACCACCTTGCTCACCAGAGACTCCTCAGCTTCCCCCACAAACTGGAGCTGTACTGCACCCTGGGAGGAAGAACCAGGCTGGGCCTGAGATTCTTTCCTGCCCCAGTGCACATTCTGGACTTCAGAATGAAGGGGAAGGCCAAAAGGTGGTAGGTGACTCAGAGGATTCCATGCTGGTTTGGGATGCACCAGAAACTGAAAAATTACCTACTGCTGTTGAGACCCCTGCTTCCTTTCTGAGTCCTGTTTCCTCAAGGACCAGAGATGTAGGGAGAAGACATGTRTCTGGGAAACCAGATACTCAAGAGAGCTGGAAGCCCTCAAGTAGAGCTGAGGTGAAGWCAGTAAACCGGATGTCTCCTGTCCCTGAATCTTCATCAGGAATTGACACCTCAAAGGCTGAAGCCCCAGGAGGGGTTTTGGCTAAAGACAGTGGAATACAGGGCAGGGGTCCAGAGTGGGAGCAGCAGCCAAAAGCCACAGAAGCTACAGTTTGTGCCAACAACAGCAAGGTCAGCTCCACTGGGGAAAAGGTTGTCCTATGGACAAGGTAGGTGAGGATAYGGGAAGTATTTGAGAAGAGTATAGAACACATCCATGAGGCTCTACAGGATTAATCCTGTTTGTGTGGGTTACAGGGAAGCTGATCGTGTGATTCTCACCATGTGCCAGGAGCAAGGAGCACAGCCACAGACCTTTAGCATCATCTCTCAGCAGCTGGGAAATAAGACCCCTGCTGAGGTAAGTGTGTGAGAGTGTGTGTGAAGGTGGGGATGTCCTGTTTGAGCCTCAAGCCCAGAGGAACSAAGAAGGTACGGCAAGGAGGGGAAGGGGTACCAACTGGAGAGAGAAGGGCTTTGTTAAGGGTGACCTCAGGGCCTGACTTCTTGGGTGGTGGTGATTCTAGAAAAGAAAGGGCTTTGGATTCAGAGGTAGAATCTRGTTTCCATTACTAGTTGTTTTGGGGAGTATAACTTTGGAGAAATATTTAGTCCCTGGAGTTTCCTTATGTAGAAGGAGGACATAGTTCTCACAACCTTACTGTGTAAACAAATACCAAAGTTTTAAAAATTGGTACCTGGAGCTTGATAATATCACAGTGTTACCAACTGGGAACAGTGAATGCAGCCCTTCTCCTGTGCCAGGTTGCCCACCGTTTCCGAGAACTCATGCAGCTCTTCCACACTGCCTGTGAGGCCAGCTCTGAGGATGAGGACGATGCGACCAGCACCAGCAACACGGACCAACTATCTGATCATGGGGACTTGTTCTCTGAGGAGGATGCAGATGAGTGAGACTCTGGGGACACGTGGAGTTATCACATAGGACGAGCCCAGCAGGCCCCTGCACTCCAGGAGAGGCTGCTTGTACTTTGCTCGTGCTGTCCTTGAGCTCTGCAGACGGAACTAGAGAGCAGAGCTGAGGACACGGACACACCAAGGCTGGAGGTGGGCCTTGGAGCTCCACATCCTGGGCTTCATTCAGGATCTTTCATGAAGAACCTATAAATCCACTCTGTAAATAGCACCAAGGGACAGTGGGGCTTACTCGACAGTTTTCTTTTTCTGATGGTACATATTTATTGTTCTGTGATCTATTCACAGTGTTTCCAAGTGTAATAAATGCCTGTGTCGTGTTGCCAGTCCCAAGACACTAAGCTCCTCTGCCTGAGGACACTGGGCTCTTAAATTCAGCAGCTTTTATTGCCAATTAGCTGTGGCCCTCCCCCCGCCCTACTCTAGTCCATGAKGCCGCCGCCATCCTGGTAGCACTGGGCCAGACTGTGGAGCTCCTGCAGCAACTCCTCCATCTCATCCTGTTCCACCCCAGCATCCAAGAAGCAGGCCCAGCGTCGCAGGTCCAGTTTGGTGAGCTCTGTGGCCAAGCCTCCCAGGGTCTGGTGCAAGGATGAAGAGGAGCACAGAGCCCCAAACACTGGGATGCTGTGCACTGCTGTGGAGGAAGAGAGGAGTKAGACCAAATGGATCATATTCTTTCCTGGGACTCTCATGTCTATAGGGAAGTCTGGGCACTTGATAGACTTGACTGTAAAGCACACTCGGTGAATTTTGTTTGCTGTCCCCTTAGTACTCCYGAGGAAGAACACTTCTCAGGAGCTCTAGGGCAATAAAGAAATGTTTTAACTGTGAACATTTTAAGCACTCTTAATCTAGGAAGGGAGAGTAAAACTGCTCCCACGCTTGATATCTTAGGTTTCTTCACCTCCTACATACCTGTGCCCCTGGGGGGACCATCCAGAACCATACCCTGCTGGCCGAGGCTTGAGAAGAGGTAGGGGTAAGGAGGAGCCACCCTGCAGGGAGTCAGCAGCAGATGGGAAGAACTGCGGACAGAGAATGGCAGTTCGGTGAGCAAGAAGTCAGGGGAGGGTGGAGGTCCTTGAGGAGGGCAGAGCAAGCATCACACTGACCTTGTGACTCTAGGCTGCTGCTGATGTAAATATTGAGCYAAGACTTCTTCTCCAGTGGTACACGCATGGAGAGGAGAAGGCAGAGGTGTCCCTGGGGTGAGCTGACTATCAGAACAAAGCCAAAACCACCTTTAGTCTGTGGCTGCTTAATAAGAACTAAGAATTTTTGGATAGAATCAGCTGGATCAGGTTGTTCATTCTTTTTTTTTTTTTTTAAAGTAAGTGGGGGGTGGTGGTGGTGGTGGTGGTGGTGGTGGGAGGAAGCAATGTCATTAGAATGCCCGGATATTAGGGAGAAGAGGACATAAACAAAAACCTGACGAGAGCTCCTAAGGACCAACAGTGCTCACCTGGTATGGCACGCTCTGTCTATACCTCTCAGCACCACTGACTGAGCAAAGCAGCGTGTTCCCAAGGAGTTCCCACATGCAGACAATGGGGTCCATGGGGTGGCTCCTCCGAGCTGCACCAAGGCATCAGGGAGGGACTGGCCTGGAACCAAGGGGAAGGGGATGACTGCTCCTGCTGTCACCACCTAAAGAGCAGGAGGAGATAAGATTACAGATCTTTTTCTCAGTGCTGACCCAAGCCCCACACAGAGCTTCATACCTTTTTCCCAGAGAAGGTCAGCATATTAGCCAGGTGGACCATGGAAACTGGAGATGAACGGAGTCGATAAGGAACAGTGACTGTATCCAGTGCTGTGGCCAGGATGGCACTACAGTGGAAGGGCAGAGTGGCCTACAAAGAGGATACAAGAGGAACACTTAAGCCTTTGGGGCCTGGAAAAGGATGTGTGGAGGTAGGGCATTAATGACAGAGAGATCCAGAGACTGAAGCAAGGGTGTGCTTGGCCCAAGAGTGGACAAGCACAAGACAGATCTAAGAGGCCACATTACAGCTGAGTTCAAGCTAAGTTTAAGAAGAGACCTACTAACAGAGGCTTCTTTGGGGAACATGAGGGTCAACTGTAGTCAGAACAAGCATTGAGCCTTACATCATAATGCAGGTGAGGGAAGTTGACAGGCGGCTGGGGTCGCAGGCCCAGGCTCCCACCCAAGGATAAGGGGCAGACGAAAGAGCTGTAAGCAGTCAGGTGCACCAGTCCGAATGCTGTGTTCAACAGGCGATAGATGTTTTTCTGAGGCTCCTGGTGAAACGAGGGGTGTGCATCAGGCAACTTTCTCAATGGCGACTTTTCTCTTGTTGCTCCTCCCCACTGTGACTTCTTTTTCTCCCATGTTCTACTCACCCCAAGACTGCAGGAACCAGGGATCAGGCCCCAGGTTATTATTCCCCGCCCTGAATACTCGTCTTGTAGCAACTCTGCAGCCTTGGCACCTACCCCAGAGAAACCATCATGCAGGTCACACAGGATCTGGAAGCCCTGGAGAGAAGCAAAGGATCAAAGGCAGTAGAGAACAGGATGAGAAGAATTTCTCCTTGCTGTCCACCTTGCCCTCAGCTACCTGCAAGTAGTCACATTCCTCTACGTAGAAGTGCAGTCTGTCCTCCAGCTCTTCCAGATACCTGGGTTCCTTCAGGACACTCTCCCCTTGGCCAAAAGCCTCCAGCCGACCTGTTTCCCTGCCACAAACGAATAGGAGGCAAGACTTCCAATCCTCTCCCCACTCCAACTCCCAGATCTCTTGTTTTGGGGAAAGATGGTCTCAAAGAATCTTATCCCCAACATTGGTGGCGGGTAAGCCTTTTGCCTCACAGCCTCTGAGGTCCCCGTACCCATCATGGTTGTACTTCTGAATCATACAGATGCTCCGGGGATGGAGATGGACTCTGAGGAAGTCTGACCAGACTCTGACACTGCTCTCTARTGGTTTTGGAATTTCAGCAGTGGTGACTGGTGGGGGACCTGAAGAAAAAGCCGGAGAGATGTACCTTTGCCATGTTCCTTCTCTGCTTAGGTCCCCATCTGTACTGCCAAAATTTAATATCTGCAGAATTCTCACCTTTGCCATTAGGGATGGATTTGACCCTCCAGAAACCATCACTACTCCGYACTCCCTGGCACAGGTGAGAAAAATCTATATTTAGTTCCAGATAGTTTAGAAGCAAAGGCTGATTTATATTCCCYGAGCATGTTGGCCATCCCTGCAGCCTCCTTCTGTTTAGGTTGAAACAATCCTTAGGAAAAGATGTGCKTTTTCTCAAAATGCCATTCTAAGGCATTTAAGGTGATCAAAATCCTCTTTTCTCTACCCCAGTGGAGGCACTCTGTTTGTAGCATGGGGTGAAAAGGTTCAGGATAGAGGCCCTCACCTCAGCACTCAGAAGGTCCTGGAGATGAGGGTTTTTGGGATAAACTTCCTCTTTGTGTGTGGTAAGCTTCCCATGCCTTGAAAAGATTTCAAGATTAATCAAAGAAACTCATTGTGATGAGAGCTCTAGCTTTCTGTGCACATGCCTGTTCCCACCCCTTTCCATACATTAGGTACATACCAAGCTACTGCTGCGTCTAGCTGTTTGTCCCAGTAGAGTCCACTTTCCTCTTTGAGGGAGTTCAGACTGCCTGTACAGAGAGAATAGGCAATGCTTGATCAAATCCTAGAGCATCCTCTCTCTTCCCAGGGAATGGGTAATCTTGATCTCCTGACAACCTGCTGTCAACATCCCTCCTGCACTGGCTTTCCAGGCTTTCTTAGATGCCCATTTGCGCGGGTGGGTGGGGAGCTGGTTTAGGAGAATTCATCTTTCTGATCCCAGCTTAATCAGTAGATGTGGTACTTGGAGCAAAAAAAAAAAAAAAAAATTCCAATAGTCATACAGGAGTGTGGCATTTCTTAACACCTGTCTCCAGTCTATTCTAGACTGGCTCTTTGAGCAGAGTAAAGTTTTGCCTTCCTGCCTACCTCTGGTGTTAGAATACTCATTTCTAGTCCTTCATTTTGGGGGTGGGTTGGGGTGGGAGGTGGATCCTTGGGATTGAACCCAGAGGCGCTTTAACACAGAGCTACATCCCTAGTTCTTTTTTGACAGAGGGTCTCACTAAGTTGCTGAGGTGGGTCTCACACTTGCTATCCTCCTGCTTCAGCCTCTCTAGTAGATGGAGTTGTAATTTAAGAGAGTGGATGCTTGAGACTCCGGAAGCGAAATGGAAACACTTGAGCACTGGCCGACCCCTGACACCGTCTCACCCTTCAGATCCATGAGGATGAGTCGCGGCGTGTACGTTTCCTGGCCATGCAGCGTCTGGCCCGTCCGATACAGGACATCAGGGCACAGTTCTCCCAGGGACTCCTGGGCGCTGGTTGCTCGGCCCAGCGCAGCATCCTGGAGGAGGCACGGAGGGAGGACTGCACTTAGAGGAGGCGAGCGGCGCAGGCCGCACGTCAGGACTGTGGATCCCCAAGGATTTCTCCGGGACAGCCACTAGGAGACCTCACCTGCTGGTTCCACCAGTGCGCTCCCACGAAACCGGCAAAATGTCCCAACTGCAGCGTAAGCACCTCTCCGGCCCCGCCCGCCATGCCTCGCCACTCCACTCGGTCCCACCGCCCCTGCCAGTCCGCTCGCTGCTCCTAGCCGATTGGCTCCACAGGCCTGTGGGCGTGGCCTCGTCCCCTGCATCCTATTGGTCCACAAACACGTCCCTTGCCATTGGGTAAATGACTTCGAGACCCTGCCCATCACTCCCGCCCCTCTTCCTTGACGTGGCCCAGTCCCGCTTTCCCGTAGTTGCCCAGCGGCCCCGCGGCCCCGCGACCGCAGGCTGGGCCGGAAGTCGTGCGCCGCGGCGCCATGCTGCGGACTTTTTTTTTTTTTTTTTGATCTTGGGGATTGGACCCGGGATGTTCTACCATGAGCTACATCCCATCCCCGGACCTTTCTATTTTTAAATTAGAGACAGGGTCTCGCTAAACTGCTGAAGCTGGTCTCGAACTTCTGACGCTCCTGCCTGAGTCGCCGTGATTGATTACAGGCCTGCGCCTCATCGCGCATTCTTCGACGGTTTTCCTTGCGCCTCATCTGGAGCCACCAATGACTAGGGTCACAAAGGTTCTCACCTCTTGTCCCATCACACTTATGCCAGCTAATAAATAACTCCACAGACAGCACCAACCCCTGTCAGAGCCGGCGCGTGGCGCACGCCTGTAATCGCAGCAGCTCGGGAGGCGGAGGCAGGAGGATCAGGAGTTCAAAGCCAGCCTCTGCAGCTTAGMGAGGCCCTACGCAACTCAGCGAGACCCTGTCTCCCTGCCTCTAAATTAAATCTCCAAATGAAATATTTTTWAAAGGCTCAGTGGTTGGGTTGCCGCCCCCCGGCCCCCACGAAAACAAACTCGCGAACRAAACACCTTGCCAGGAAACAAGCTCCTTTAAATCCCGCCCCCACACTCCTTCCAAAGTCAGCCTTTCTGGATTTTAACCCAGGGGACTGGTCTAGCTAGGACATTAGGTAACAGAGTATGTGTTCTTTCTGTCAATATCCTTTATGAAATTCATCCGTATTCCATCACGTATCTACTTCACTTTCATTGCTGCAGACTAGTCCGTTGTATGTATATATCACAAATGATTTTTTGTATTTATATACATCCCCAGCCCCTTTTATTTTGAGATAGAGACTTGCTAAATTGCCCAGGCTGGCTATGAACATGTGATCTTCCTGCCTCAGCCTCCAGAAATGCTGAAACTACAGGTGTTTGCAATGACGCCCGGCCCAGCCCTCTTTATTTTGAGACGGGATCTTCCCAAGGTTCTCCAGCTGGCCAATGAACTTTACCACTGAGCCACATCGCCAGCCCATTTTTTAATTTTATTTCAAGACAGGGTCTCACGGAGTTGCTCAGGGCCTTGCTAAATTTCTGAGGCTGACTTTGAACTTGTGATCCTTCTGCCTGATCTGTCTGCTGATGCCCTGCTTAAAAAGGTACCTTACATCCCTAAATCTACATAATTAGACCAAGAAAGCTTGGGGGAGGAGGATAATAAGTATTAGGAGTGACGGGAGGGGGGGGAAGGTCAGCTAAAAATGGTAGATTTACATTTTTAAATTGCATTTATCAAGTTAAGAATTTATTCAGGGGCTGGAGATGTGGCTCAAGCGGTAGCGCGCTCGCCTGGCRTGCGTGCGGCCCGGGTTCGATCCTCAGCACCACGTACAAACGAAGATGTTGTGTCCGCCGAGAACTAAGAAAAAAATAAATAAATGTTAAAATTTTCTCTCTCTCTGTCCCCCCCCTCTCTCACTTTTAAAAAAAAAAAAAAAAAAAAGAATTTACTCAGGTGCTTATCATCAATGGATGTTAAAACCATCGGGTGATAATTTCTTGGGAAACAGGACAGTGAGAGGATATCAAAGTAACACTCCAGATTGTTTAATTAACAATTGGGGAAGTGGTAAATTTTTGATGGAGAAACTTAATGGATATCATACTTAACCAAGTGATCATCTCATCATCACCAATAATGCAACAAACTAAAATGATGTGGTGTGGCAAGTACAACATATAACCCATGACTTATGCATACCCAAACTGTTCAACTTGTATCTAATCTGAGGGAAACAAATCTAGACTGTGGGACAGTTTATAATACAACACTAAAGAGTATTTTATCTAAATATAATGTGAACTCCTTGATTGGTACCTGAACTGGAGAAAGTGAGTCGTGCATCAAGATAAGTTTCTTGGGTATGATGATGTAGTCATGTAGAATAACCTACCCCCCTTTTTGTGGTGCTAAGAATTGAACCCAGGGACTATTTGCATGCTAGGCAAGCACTCTACCAACTGAGCTATATCTCCAGCCTGGGAATACCCTTCTTAAGATGTATGTACTGATGTACTTGCGGATTGTCCTGTGTCTCCAATTTACTTCCAAATGGTGCAACAAAATAAATGTGTATAAAAATAATGCGAATGTTAACAACTGAATGTAGGTGAAGATTACATTGTCTTTATTATTTTTTTGAGTATTCCAACATTCCTGTAGGATTGAAACATTTCAAAATAAAAAAAATTATTGCAGTACTGGGGTTTGAACACAGGGCTTTACACATGTGAGGCAAGTGCTCCTATTACTGAGCGACAGCCGCAGCAGTATTTGCACAAATATTTTCAAATCATCTTGTCAAGATCAGCAAAATAAAAAACTCCTAGTATTTGGGTCAGGCAGGATAGCATCATATCTTCATAAATCAATTTGGGGTGAAGCAATGCCTCTAATCCATATTCTGCTATTTATTGAGGTTTAATTTTTTAAAATTTCTTTAAACAAATTAAAAATTTTTTACTTAAAATTTTTTGTTTTCTGTACATCATATACCTCCCTGTTCCTACCTCCCTGCAACAGAGAACCATTAATCTACCTTCTGTCTTTACAGATTTTGTTTTTCTCAACATATCACATAATCATACCGCATATGGCCTTTTGTTCCAGTATGTATTTTTTWAAAATCTTTGTTTATTTTTATGTGGTGCTGGGGACCGAACCCAGGGCCTCATGCATTCAAGGCAAGAGCTCCACCACAGCCCTCCAGCATGTTTTTAAGGCTCTTCATTTTGTAGCATTATTTTCCTTTTGCTTATCAATTCACAGTTTCATGGATGGTTTGGATTATTTCTAATGTTTAGCTATTATGAATAATGTTACCGTGAACAGTCTCATGCTACTTGAACATAACTCTCTGTGGACATATGTTCATTTAGGGTAGAATTGCTGGGTCACATGATAATGCTGTTTAATATTTTGAGGGACTCCCAAACCATATTCCAAAGTGGTTTATTTCAATATCTCCACATCCTAACAATTGTTATTGTTCATACCATTCCTGTGGGTGTAAAACTGTATGTTATCTGGCTTGGACTTGCATTTCCCTAGTAACTAGTGCTGGTGAGTCCCTTTTCATGAGCTTTTCATTCATCCACCTTTTTTTACAAAAAGGTCCAAATCATTTCATYCATTTTTATATTGTCATTTGTCTTATTAGTGAGTCCTTCATTAGTGAATTATAACTATAACCTTTAAAAGCACATAAGAGCAAAAGTTAATTTGATGAAATCCAATTTATTAGATTTTTAATATTTTTTAAATAAATGACAGCGGAATGTATACAGCACAATTTTTCATATCTCTGTATGTTGACACCAATTCATGCCTTCATACATGTACTTTGGACAATGATGACCATCACATTCCACCATCATTGTTAACCCCCTTGCCCCCTTCCTTCCCTCCCACCCCTCTGCCCTATTTAGAGTTCCTCTGTTCCTCCCATGCTCCCCCTCCCTATCCCTCTGTGAATCAGCCTCCTTATATCAGAGAAAACATTCAGCATTTGGTTTTGGGGGATTGGCTAACTTCACTTAGCATTATCTTCTCTAACTCCATCCATTTAATTGCAAATGTCATGATTTTATTCTTTTATTGCTGAGTAAGTAAAATTACATTGTGTGTGTGTGTGTGTGTGTGTGTGTGTGTGTGTGTGTGTTTTCCAAGGAATCTCTGTACTGCTTTCCATATTGGCTGCACCAATTTGCAGTCCCACCAGCAACATATGAGTGGGCCTTTCCCTCCGATATCCTCGCCAACACTTATTATTAGATCTTTTCTTAAAATCACATCTTATGGATATCTTTGGCATCATATCTAAGAAATATTCACCCAATTCAAGTTCAAGAAGATTGTCTATCTACTTGCTATGTTGCCTCGCTGGTCTTGGACTCCTGGACTCAAGCCATCCTCCTGCTTCAGCTCCCTAAGTAGCTGGGAGTACAGTCATATACCACCACATCTGGTATTTCTTTTGTTGAATTTGTTTCTAAATACTTTATTTTACTGCTATTGTGAATAGAATTATTTTAACTTCATTTCTGGATGATTCTTTAATAATATAAATACAATGGATTTTTATGTACTGGTCTTGTATTGTTGTGCCCTTGCTGAATTTGCTTTTAGTTTTAGTATATATTTTTTGGGGGCCAGCTTAAGGTTTTCTAGATGTCCAAGCTAATGCTATCTGAAAATAAAGGAAGTCTTCTTATTTCTTGATCTGGACAATTTCCAGTTGAGTGATGAGAAGGAGCCTCAAGAATCTAGCTGTGCAGTACCTTGGCATGAAGACAATAAAAAATGGGTATGAACATTAGGACTACAGAATAATCTTATGAAAAAAAGACTGCATAGGGTAGATTATGATAAAATATTTGGGAAACAATTAAGAATCTGTATTTAGTGATTAGAAAAGTGGGGTTATTCTTCCATAGGACTTTGTGTATCAGTGATGATATAGACAGACTTAACATGTCTGAGTTTACTCTTATGGTTAGCCTCCCAAAGCTGCGTGTTGGATGTGAGAGTGATCTGGCCGCAGATTCACGTGGTATCGTGATCTCCTGAAGATTCACCATTGGTAAAAGAGAATGACCTTCTCAATAAGAGGACAGTTCTTTGGTCAAGGTTATAAGAGTAGATGTACTCCAGAACCTCCTGCCAGAACCTATAAACAAGCTCCCAAGGTCCAAATGTGGCAGTATTTCCCAGCCTCATCTGCAACTAAGGRCCAAATTTGTCAACATGATTTGATCTTGCCTAAATCCTGTGTTTCTGGGGACTTGCTTCAACTGTCATTAACGCAGGCTAAGGTAAGACTGTTATAGGGTCAGCCCACACTGCCTCCTCTGGTAGGGCTCAGGCGGTGTCTAGCTGCAGAGCCTATGATGTTGCCCTCTTGCCTTCTTTTTAAATAAATTGGTTCAAATGAGCATGTAAATTTACAGAGAATAAAAAGAAATTTATGAGGAAGAGGGTGGGTGTGGTGGCACACACCTGTAATCCCAGAAGCTCAGGAGGCTGAGATGGAGGGTTCCAAGTTCAAAGCCAGCCTCAGCAAAAAGCAAGGCTCTAAGCAACTCAGTGAGGACCCCCCCC